GAGGGGTATAAACACTCGAATTTTGCTTTTGTCATTACAAGTCCGTCCTAGAGAATCATCTTCAACTAACCACGACCATTACTTCTGGACACGTGACCACTCTCGACAATCACTCATCAATCGTACTGTAGCATTTATATTCAGTCGATTGTCAGTCTAAGCTACGCAGATTAGTCTAATGTGGCAAATAGACAGCATTTTAACCGAGCCCAATGTCGGTTGCTTTACTTTGCAAAGATTTAAGCGGCCGGAACCCGTACGTTAGGATTATTCTTTCTCTAGCGCAGGATGCTTTAATCCGACCCTTGGTTCCGTACCCCTCATTACACTTTGGGGCTTTTTAATTCAGTAGGGCTCCCAGTCCACTACAATATCACGGGGGCGAGTTGGCGGAGCAGACGCACTTTTTGGATGTGATTGCTCGTCCATGTCTTCGGTTGGAATATATGGGTATCAAACCAGATATCTCCCAGTCCCAGAAGTGACTAACCGCTTGAACTCAGGATCGGTTGCTGTACTTTACAGAGCAGACACAACACGGTAATTTCAGTCTAAGTTGGCCGACCTCGACAGTCAAAGTTTTCTCCGTGAATTCATTATTGAAGCGTCACACTCGCTTTGTTAATCATACTTAACATAAAAGAGCAAAAATACTTGGGCTTCTTGTATTTGTTATCTGTCACCCAACACATTAGGTATTCTGCAATCTTTTCCGGCACTGAATTCTTACAACTTGACAGCAACTGCAAGTTCTGCTCTCTACTTTCTCATGCAATGAGTGTAAAGATGAGCAAGATGATTTCGAGCTGTGTATTCGAGGTGTTATCTTGCGGTGCATGAACTTTACATTTGAAAACTGTAAGACAGCTTGTACATTCCTCGCACTACTCTGCTAGGCTGTTTATTGTCGTCTAAGCCAATGATTATAATAAATCATCATCGTATTAATCCTACACTGAGATGGGATGATCTCTCTATGTTTACTAAAAGTTCGAGCGCATTATGTTTTTGCTAGGGTCGGACTATTACTATTTTTTTCGAGGTAGTAGTTGAGGCAAAGTGTTAAAATAATTCTACTTCTATCAGTCTATCAGTCTATCAGTATCAACATTTCGTTGACTTCAGATATTAGTGGTAATCAATTGCTTAACTACCTGCAGCAGGAGTATTGTGTATTGACCAGTTACACCTCAAAGGCAAGATTTAAACTTCCTTTTTAGTTATGTCAATCGATAATCAGCTAGCTTCACCATCTATTGACACATTTCATAATGTGTCATTACTTGTTTTTTTATGTGGCTAATGGCGCGTCGATATCACAATTGCAACTAAGTGCATATTTGCTACAGATATAAACTCGCTGTTTAACTTGATGTTATCGTGTCAACGAGGCGTGAACCGAGCTTTTCTGACTAGATTCGTGGTTAAGGTATTGAAAAGCGCATTACGGTGATGAATGTGCCAGAACACAATTTATGCGTAAGCCCTTACAACTTGCGACATGTTCTAAATCAGCGAAGCCCGTAAAGAAGGTAATGTTGACAACGAGGGTTTTGATTCAGTACATATAATTGTTTATAAGTTTTATCACGAACAATGGAATATGACTGTCCTGTAGCCTAACCTTTAATGATGATGATGGCAAATCTCGACTGCAACGTGCGACTCCGTGCCTGGATATTAAATGGCCTTTATAGCCAGCGTGCACTGCGTACAATCGCCATTACTACACAACAACGCGACATTACATTTCGTCCATCTTTTGATAATCGCCTTCTCATTGAAGCAACATAGAATACCAGTGTTGCGGCAAGCCTCACTTTGACTTTAGCAGCCCAATCGTCTATCAGTTTCTAACTGAAATATCGCGTTTCAATTTCAGATCTTGCAACCGCTGGCTCTCCAGACGTTAATGGAAGGCGTAGCGCGCTTCCTAAGCGCTGCAATGGACAGTAACAACGACATTGACAACGTACAAGGAAAATGGATTGGGCTTATCATTATTATCGTCTCGGCTGTACTATCAAACCTTGGTGTGAATGTGCAAAAACTCTCCCACGTTCAGGTACGGAGTCTCCTATGCTCTGCTGTTGAGATTTTATTCGAAGCTGATTTACTATGTCCTACCAGGAAGAAGAAAAACCCGTGTTTGAGCGACAGACGTATTACACACGTCCATTGTGGCTCACTGGTCTCGTATTAGTCGCTTTAGGCGCAATTGGGGACTTTGAAGCGTTGGGCTTTGCTCCTCAGGCGCTTGTAGCGGCTGTTGGTGGTGGCTTTACGGTTTTAGCAAATGTCTTTTTTGCGCATTTGTGGCTGGGCCAAATCTTGACCAAAACAGATGTTGTGGGCACGCTGCTGATTATCATTGGCGTTGTACTTAGCACAGTGGCCAATGAACCAGATGAGCAGATGTCACTACTGGAGCTAGAGAAACAGTTCTATCAGCTGGGATTTCTTATTTATTTAGGCATTATGGTAAGCACATTTGTAGACACGTGATGGATTATCCAGGTTTAAATAGACGAATTTTTGTGATGTTACTTTAGACTGTCGTGCTTGGTGGCATTTTTGGACAAATTGAAGCTATTATGAGGCTTCCTAAAGCATTAAATGAGAACAAATACCGATTGCTGCCATTTATGTATGCTACAGCGTCAGGTATCTTCGGTTCCTTCTCGGTGCTATTGGCCAAGGTAATGAAGTTGTCTTGGGACTCTTTCCGTATGGCCTAGATGTGATTGTCATTATACTCTTTTATGCTAGTGTGCATCAATTTTGCTGATTTTAACGTTGAGCGGAGAAAATCAATTTGTCTACTTTACGACGTATTTGTTTATGGGTGGCATGATGTGCACGCTGGTATTACAGACTGACTTGTTAAATCGCGCTATTATGGCGGGGGATACACTCAGTGTTTTCCCCATGTTTCAATGTTTCTGGATTGGTGTGCGTGAATGTTTTTTCTGCGAAATTATGAAACTTGCTGACTTCGCTCTTTCCGTTTCGTTCAGTCCAGTGTCATTGGTGGCGTCGTTTTTTACGAAAAGTATACCCACTTTTCGCTTTTCGACTGGATTTGTCTACCCATTGCTCTCGCCTGTAAGGATGTTTCTTCTCTTATGGCGTTGTGTTATTAACCAAAACTTCATGTGTGACTGTCAGTTATTATCATGGGTATTTATCTGCTGGCAAAGCACGGAGAAGGAGATTGCAATGATCTGAATGATGTTGAGCACACAACACCGGCCCACCGTGCACATTTGACAGGTCACTTTGGCGCGCTTATGCCGCTTTCACCCCAGGGCCGTTCATATAGCACGTTCAGTCGAAAAAGTTACGATGATCACGAAAGCGGGCATACACCGCTACGTTACACGCCGTCTAGTGGACGAAAACCTGACCAAAGTGGACGTGGCTCTGGGCAGCTGAATGGGTTAGCCAATCGTGATGACAAAGGTCACTATAATGGACATCCTGCTGACGCTGACCAGTGGTCGGGTTCCAGTGCACGAAGGTATGATTTCCCGGTGTACAGTGGATCCTTTTGACGTGATCAATGACGAAATCATGAGATCATGAATTCAAGATTACCATATGATAATAGAAGTCGAATATAGTGTCGCCGCGGTAAAAGATGGAAGGTGCATTTAAAGTAGCACTATTGCCGTAGAGGCAAAAAGTATGTGAGAGTGGCAATTTGTAGTATTACTATCAATACAACTGAGTAAGGCGCATCAAAGTTAAACTCGAATTATACACGTTGCAATTCGAATTGATCATTGGAGTGTGCCTGCTTTATTTAACGGTGTTAACACGTACTACAATCATCGTGAGCGTTTGCCTGATAACTAATCATTTACAGCCATTCTGTGAAGTGGTGAGGATGGCGCTTTCAGTATGTCTGTTGGAGATGCCAAACGCGTCATACTTTCAGTCGGAAGAACAGCATTCCTATAAAAATACATAAGTACAACGTATAGATCGGTAGTCTAAAAGTTACGACATGGACAAACCTGATTGAAGGAGTTGTTGGTCGCTCACGACCCTTTTCGTTAAATACGTGATCATAAATGTCAATGATGCGTATCGCTGCGTCAGCTCCAGCTACAACCATTTTGTCTTCGACAGCAGAAAAGTCAAGTGAAAAGACTCCGTGACTTAGGCCCGCGATTGTACCAATTAATTTATTGTTGACATCGTGGTTGAAAACTTTGGCTTCGTTGGATCCACTGCCTCCTGCAGCAATGAGCTGTTGGCCACTTATTGATTTCGAGAACTGCGCTGTGTATACAAAGCAGGGCTCTGAGCGACGAACGCTTTGGTTCCACGGCACAGACACGATGCGCTTGCCAGATCCGTAATCCCATAGCTCTAACGGGTTTTCAGGACGCCAAGACCCCGTAAGAATTTCTCCACGTAAATTCATGTCTACTGCATCGCCTGCAACATGAGGGCCATAAATACCCCGCACAGAATGACCGACGCGTAGATCCCAGATCTGAAGCGTGTTATCCCATCCTCCAGAAATGATAGTGTTATCGTCTTCTGGAGCAAATTTGATTGAAAACACACGATTTGAATGACCTGCAGTAAGAGTTCCGTGACCAGAATCCATGCACGCAATCTCTACTCTTGTCGCTTCGTCGTAAACTCGTATAGCATGGTCCTTTCCTCCCGTAGCGAACATTGCTCCATCTGAGCGATAGTCAAGAGCGTACAGCTGGTTCTTATCGTTGCTAATGGCGTTTAAACACTTGCCCGACGTGATATGCCAATGTTCCACTGATCCGACGGAATCTGGACAAATATAATGAGAGAATTGAAAAAAATTTTCTTGATCATATAAATTACGTACTCGCAGCAAGCAAAACATTTTTAGTCTTCGTAGCACATGTTAATGGACGAAATCGAATCGCAGTGCATGGCAATCCAAAGCCAAAACTATTATGTGGCTGCATTAATGTGTATGATAATTCGCCATCGTGCACATTAAATACGCGAATTGCTCCATCGCCACATCCAGCAGCTAGGAATTTCCCATCCGGTGAAAACCTTGTGCAAAAGACCTCAGAAGGACAGTCACTAATGGTGACGCTAGGCGCCAAACGCTTAATTGTTTCTAGACCATTAAAAAAACTTATTTTATCCAAAATACATATATTTCATTGCATAACGCTGCGTTCTTACCATCCATGACGTAAGTCTCTCCACTGGAAGATCGTAAATGCATGCGTCGTTTCGCACTAAGAATAAACCGTGTTAATTGGCTCAGTGTCTCGGGTTATGGCATTCTATTGGATCAAATAACGTTCAAAAACCATCTGAGGCACAACTAACATGCTGCACAGCTTAATCTGCGGTAATGAAGCCAATTACGTGCTGCTATCTCGATATTTTCAACCACAATTGACACTGAAAGATCGGCAAGTATATGAGGCACAACTTGCACAAATCTGCAAACAAATGCCCGATCTCTGGGGCGATCGACAGACAAAAGTCGACCTTGCGTCGGTTCAAAGTCAACTAATCGTGTGCGAGTCGCAATTTGTAGTTGTCCGTCAGATTGGAGAGCTTCGTTTGATGCTATCGGGTAATGAGGAATATGATGAACTAATATGTGCGTTTCAGCCTGTATTTTATAGAATTGGCAGACTTATATGGTCATTAATTAATCTTTGTAGTGGACGAGATCATGACAGTGCTGCAAGCGGTGCTGATGACTCAATTGGACAAAAAACTCACGGAGGCTAGTCTGCTACTAAATTATGCCAAGGTGGTCGTCGCGCTTGATGAAATGGTGCAGGAAGGTCATTTGGAAAATTTAGATGAGGTCAGTATCGATCAAATGATTAAACTTAAGCCATACCCATCAAAGTAGACGATGCGAAAGCCATTAGTTGTATTTGTAGCCGACATTGAATATTAAGTTTCTGAGCTAGACGAAGTATCATCGACGGCGTCTTCAATATGACACTTTAAATCATTCGTAACGCGAGTAATTTCTCTTAATCTTGAAAGCAATGACATTGCCATTCATTTCACGATAATATTATTTAGCTTTCTATATAGTATGTGATATTAATTTTTTTGTGTACATTCTAAGCTCATCGCAACCATCCTAAATATTTTGACCTATGATGGTAGCAAACTCAGTCTCTATTTAAAAAGCTTTCAAAAAGATCTGAAGCAGTTAAGTAAGCGGTGTTCATGGTTACCACGAGAGACATCGTAATTCTTCGCGTAGCAGTCAATTAGTGGAACGTGGCGATTTCCACAACAACATCCTTCACACGCGACACCTGGTTCTTCATAGCGCTCTTCACCTTTTGTTTCCATTCGACAGCTTGATGTACATCACACCCATCACTCACGACTAATGTAAGGTCCACATAAATATGACGACCGACTTTGCGACAGCGCAGCTGACGAATTTGTAGCACATCACCGTTACTATTTTCGATTACTTCGGCCGCAGCTTTTTCCAGCTTTTTGATAATGTTTTCAGATATTTTAACATCGCACAATTCCTTTGTTGCTGTCCAGCCCATTTCTGCACCCATTTTTAGGACAATTCCACCCACTGCGATGCCAGCGAGTGGGTCAAAAAGTGGGAAGCCAGCGAGACTCAATCCAATTCCACCCAATGCTACAACACTAGTGATAGCGTCACTCCGGTGGTGCCACGCATTAGCAATTAGTACGCTTGAGTGCACACGACGTCCGATGTTCATAGTTGTACGAAATAATGCTTCCTTCGCAGCCACAGACATCGCAGCAATACCCAACGCAGCAGGATGCATGACCAAACCGTGTGCGTGTGAGTGTGGGGACTTGGCAAGCGCTTCCACTGCTTTTGATATATCAGGATCTAATTTTTCAACCATCTCGACTACTTCTTTCGGAGATATCACAGTCATTGGTTGTATCACCGCCAAAAGACTATCCACAGAGTGCACCATAATCCCTAGCGACCCTCCTACAAGCAGTAATGAGACAGAAAGCGCCCCCATTGTCTCGTATTTTCCATATCCGTATGGTTGGGAGGCATCAGGTGGTCGTGCACAATACTTGAGCGACACAAGCGTCACAAAATCACTCACAAGATCACTTATCGAGTGCGCAGCATCAGCTAAAAGCCCCGATGAGTGAAAAGCTACTCCAGCAGCTCCCTTAAATCCACTTAGCACCACATTCAACCAGATGCCAACCCATGTGATGCGATCGGCTGTCTTCATATCCTCTGCTGAGAGCTTTAACCTTGATGCTTGCTCATCTGTTGTACCTTCTACTTCATCAGTACTTCGATGGCTATGACCATGCCATCGCTGTGTTGGAGTGAATAACCCGAGCTTAGGCTGTGTCGAGGTCCTATAAATTGCAATTGGTCGACGGTACAAATGCACTTCTCGATGTGCGATAGTCTGCCAGCAACGAGCACCACACTTCTCTTTTCGAGCGTTTACTACGTACAGTGGCGTGAGTGCGTACCGCCTACTTAAATAACAGCTGCAATATATTTATATGAGTCAGGCGTACATCAATGATAAAGTTTCTTCATCTTACCGAAGCAGTAAGTGCGATCTCATACCCGAGGTGTTGCTGCTCGATCAAAGCCAAAAATATATTTATTTTTTGTCATCGATTAGTGTACCATACATAAGTTCCAAAAGATGATTGTATTGGACATTTATAAAGTCCTTACTATCGGTAGCACTTATCGGTGCGCCAGCTTGGTCGATAGCGTGGACATGGCTTTCACTTTGCCATCAGGGACCATAAACATGACAATGGGCTTGTCATCCGACAGATATGGTCTATCTACACGGAAATAGCCACGACGCTCTAGTTGAACAACCTGTCCTTCTTTCATATTACGAAGCTCGTGATCGCCCACAGCGTGCATTTCAGCACGTGTTGTGTCGGTAAGAAAGTCTTGAAAATTGTCTCCTTCCTCAAGTTTTGGCTTATTGAGCAAGTGGTCGAATTCGACGAGTATGAGCGGTACAAGATCAGGCACATCAGCCAGCCACGTAACCTTGAGTTTTGTCTTCTTAAAATCCCCCTCTGGATAGTTTTCAGCTTCAACACTTGTGATCATACCATCAGCATTTTTATTCATTTTTTTTACAATCATATTGCCGTGCCGCATAAGTGTCACTTCTTCGCCTTCGACAAAATTGTTGACGTCATCACGTTCGAGCAATAACTTACTGCAAAAGCGTACCATCTTATTGCCCATTGTTGGATCCTTTGGATGGCGCGCCACTGGAATGCCAATTACTGTATCCGTTACATTTGTGAGCAAGAGAGGTACCGTTGACTCCGAAGCAATTGCAAAGTAACGAGGTGCAATTGGATCCAAAACACGCTTATTGAGGGTCCAGAACTTGTCCCATTCCATGTCCGTGATACGGCGTGAAGCGCCCTGGCTCAATATAAACTCACGTAATGCTTCCACTTGTACACCACGACGCAGTACACCTTGTACCGTTGGGAACCGTGGATCTGTCCAGCCCTCGACGTGGCCATTGTCCACGAACCACTGCAGTTTTCGCTTTGATAGCACCGAGTAGACAAAATTCATGCGTGCAAAACTCTGGATTATCACCTTGCGCAAACGGAGTGTGTCGAGGACCCATTGGTACTGAAAGTCCCGATCGTTGTACTCGGTTGTACGCAGTGCATGAGTCACACCTTCAAGCGAGTCGACTATCGGGCACGCAAGATCGTACGTTGGGTAGGCCTGGTATTTGGTTCCTGTACGATGATGTGGCGTTGGATTCAATCGAAAGAAAACTGGATCTCGCATAGTCTTATTCTTTGCTTGCATATCAATCTTGCCACGCAAACAGTAGCCTTGGGCGTCCGATGCGTTTACCAGCATCTTTTCAAATAGTGCAAGGTTCTCGTCTGGCGTTTGGTCGCGACATTTGGAGTTTATGCCCTCCATACGCTCGTCTCGCATAATCTCTTGCGGTGTATTGTCCATATATGCGTTACCTTCCCGAATCATCGTGCGAGCAAAGTCTGCAATCTTGTCAAAGTAATCGGACGTGTATGTTATAATGTCTGGTACAACTTCCACACGTTTTAAATCGGCAATTATGCTCTGTTCAAACTCATCTTTCTCCTTGCTTGGGTTTGTATCATCGAAGCGAAGAATTAATTTTCCATGGTAGTGACGTGCGTAGTAATTGTTTAACATACAAGCCTTGATGTGGCCGATGTGCAAGTAACCCGATGGCTCAGGAGGAAATCGCGTCACAACATGACCATCCACTGCATCTTTTAGAGGAGGACAGCCACCCGTATCTTTCACCTTATTAGCCGCAGCTCCCGTCGAAGCAGGTGAGTTTATAGGCTTGATTGCCTTAAGTGAGCCATCAGCTTTTGCGAACAGAGTCTGCTGTGCTTCCAAGTGTGCCAACCAGCGCGTCACGTTGGAAAACGAGGACAAGTCAATTTTTTTCTTCAACGGAGCGAGTTGAGCCCACACGCCAATGTCTGCAAGTGAAAGTGCATTTTTTACAATAAACGTTTGCGTCTTGAGCACACGATCCAATATCTGAAGACCGCCGTCGTCTTCGATATTGGCATGAAGTCGCGTGAGAGCAAAGTCCAGCCACGCGTCAATCTGGGAAGGCGGTAAGGCAGTCTCTGTTGCGGTAGCATCTTTTGTAGCCACACCAAATAGACCCAGTTCAGGCTTAAGACGAGCCAAGTATCGTGCAACGGCAAAATCACCCGAAACTATGCGACCATCTGCCAATGTGAGTGTTGGTATGACAGCCGAGGCAGCAGCATCACGCCCAAAGTTGCAAAATCCTGGCGCATATTTGACAAGCTGAGCGACGACATAACTAGCACGTGGGAGATGGCCAGCACTGGAAAAGACAATGACGCCATCATTTTCAGAAGATGGGATAGGTAGCTCAATTCCAGCATGTGCTGCCTTTTTGAGAGTCTTCTTGTTGCTAGCAGGAGCTGTCGGCACTACAGGGGCTTCTGTAGGGGCAGAATCCTCGTCCGTTCCACCAGTCTTGAGCGCCTGCTTTTGCGCTTTCTTGCGTTCTTTGTTCAGCTCTTTCTTAGACTTTTTAGATGGGTCTTGAGACTGAATCTGGTCCACTTGTGACTTCTTTTCTTTCTTAGGTTTGGGCGGTGGACCGAATTCCTTTCCCGTTACTTTCTTAAATTCCGCCTTTAGCGCGAGTAGATGAGCCACAGCTTCTTTCATCTGATCGATTTTGTCAGCATCTTTTTCTGCCTTCAGGTCACGTACTTTGTCACCTGCGGCGGCAATCTGCATCGTCAACTCATCCTCTGTCGCCATGATCTCGATGGGTAGGCTTCTCCAGAACCACAAATGATAGCGTTCTTCGGTACTGAACCGGTTTTCTTGAATACAATCCGTGCCACACCATCCGTACACCAAGTTGTGGTAAATTGAAAATACTAAATTTGATATTTGTGAAATTTTTCAATTAACTACAAGACCCAAAATATTGTGATTTGTATGACGGTGTGGTGAAGATATCCCCGCGCCAAAATAGAGATCGCAGTCTGTATCTTAAGGTGGTAAGTGGTGCCGATGAAGGAGCTTTGTTTGTATTGTACTGATATAACGGTACGGCACATAACCATACGCAAAATTACTTTCTGAACGGGGTTACACGTACTTTTGTATGAATGCGGGTCACACAAGATGGTGTGACCGTACATAGGTGTTGATTGCACAAGTAGGTGAATCATGGCTACACCGAAACAAGAAGCCACTACGTGGCAGGATTGCCAGTAGTAATGCATATTAATTTGGTTTTAATATATTAATTAGGTATTACTATATTTAATAGGAAAACCTAAGGTTCTAGAAATTGGCGGCTCTACCGCAACTAAACAATTAAATACAGTTTTAATTCAGAACGGAAGAGCGTCTTTACCGTGGTTGAGGTATTTGAGTACTCTGGAGGTAGGGGATTGCGACTCACTACACTCGTACTGATTCTTGTAAAGAAAGTAAGGTCGGTGACCATAGCATAACTTCCTCTAAGAAAAGAGCTACGGCAGCCCCGCTGCACTTGGTAGCACTCGTAGTCAATAAACGCCTGCGTCATTACGACTGAACCTTTGTGAGGATGGAGCTATACTCCTATTTGCCCCAGGGCAGCAGGATGTGCTTAATAAGCTGATGTCCCTGCTTGGCCTGAGCGCGTGAATAAACCTTGTTTCGCAAGGTCCCAAAACAATAAGAGCGCGTTTAAAATGCTCTGTTAGAGCACCTACAGCAGAATCTATAGGCATCAACTGCGTCCAAGACGCCACCGTCGACGACGGATGACTCCTCCGCTCATGGTGAGCGCTAGAACCTTCAAGGGTAAGGATGGAGAGAATCTCCTGCCTTTATGGAGGACCTTTGCACTGGCGTGGTCAGAACGGAAGTCTTCTGTGTGTATCCGTCTTCGCTTGAAGAATCGATGAACGTGGCATTGAATGCCGAGTTCATCTTCAGTTCGGCACAATTTGCTCGGAATGCACACGCTCAGAGATCGTCGAGCGAGCCTGAGCCAATGGACCTCAGATATGCTAGAGAAAAAGAGAGGTCCAAGCTGCTGAGCAGCGTTTAAACACTCGACGGTTTTTTATCTGTGAAGACACCCGTCACCTTCGGACTGGCTGTCCCCTATGCAAGGCGCGTAAGGCTCGTCGAACCGACGTCCAGCTTCTAACCAATCTGGTCTGTCGCAGGAAAACGCGAACACTCAGCAGGCGCGGGGTGCCCAACTAGGTGAACTAAGTTCTGTTGAGCCTCGAGGAGATTGATCCCAGCCCTAAGAGCTCCGTGCTCGTGAACACGAACCGTGTGTGTAAGCCAGGATTGCTGGTCGTTAAATCGACCGTGAAGGGCTTTGAGAAGCCATGGATTTTTCTTATTAATTCCGGGGCGTCGGCCAATTATGCTCGAAACTCAACAATTGAAGGAAGTCTGCTGTATGCTGAGGTGCTGAAAGCGCGGTTGAGTGATACCGTCACTGTTTGCTTAGCGGTGGGGACTTGTGTCACTGTGCCAAGGGCCTCTGTGGACCTCGGTGCCAAGTTCCTTGACTTTACCAGCGTGGAACACTGTCTAGTCTTAGTTTTGGATGCAACGTATGACCTCATCCTTGGTATGGCATGGTTGGAACACCATGGATCATGGATTGATTGGAGGTTGAAGACTTTCGGCGCTACGCGCACCTCTGCTAATGGAGCTTTGGTGAGTCATGAATTCACTTCTGCTAGTAAGCAGAAGTGCTATCGGTGCGGGCACTGGACCGGAACGGTCAATTTTCTCGATATCAGAGTATCCGAGTTGTCAAACACCGAAGGTGTTTTGGACAAGAGGCCCGAGCGTGCTCGCGGGCTGAACGTGGAGTGGCACGAAACTCACTAAGTGCTGCTCGAGTATTGGAGCAGTCGCTGCATGCCAATAGTGGCATGGTCGGCCAAGGGCCGAGGCATCAAGGGCATGGCCCTTGTGATGCACAAGGAGTGTCGCGTAGACCATTGAGCACTGCTCACGTTACGAAGCAGTTGCTGTGTGCCAAGAATGGCATGGTCGGACGAGTTCCGAAGCATCCTGGACGGCAAGATCCTTCTGATGCGCGTGGAGTAGCACGTTATTCACTGAACGAGGACTGTGGAGAATAGCAGCTCTTCGTCGGATGTTGTTAATAACTTTAACGCTCCGACGGAGCAGGGAGTGGGGGACACTGGACGACGCCGAGTGCGTGTTCCCAGTGATCTCAATGAGACGTAATCTCTTTAAAGGAGGAGACGGCAAAGCCGTTTGATATATGCAAGACGCAGGGCGTCGACCCTGACCCAGAATGGGTTTACCGTGGATGATAGCCAACAGCTATATACCTTTGCCAATGATATGACGGGAGAGAAAGACGGCGGCGGCAATATCCCCACGGGGGATGCTCTTCTTGAGCTGGACAAGATTTCCTTCGAGGAGTTAGGCGGTGCCTTGAAGGAAGGCAATTTAACCGGAGTGATCATTATATTACCGAACGAGGAGATTATTTTTTTGTTGCTTCTGGATGAAGTTATCGTGAAGGACACTAAGAGGGTCCTGAACGCACAAAGTGGATTGTCGATTTTGCAGAATCTCTCGGATCCGCAGTATACTTAAAAAAAAATTCAAGACATCGTCTCCAAGGACCCGCCGTCAGCTCTTCCTCCGGACTGAGGTGTGCGTCATGAGATCGACCTGGTTCCGGGAACCAAATACTGCTTAACACGTGGCCCCTGCCCAAGGAGTAGAGCGACGTCATTGACGCATTTTTCCGTGCGAAGCACGACGTAGGAATGGTGCGTGAGAGTAAGTCATCCCATTCAACACTCATGTTTTGGGCCCGGAACCCAAACGGCAAGTGTGAGCGATTATGATAAGTTAAACGCTTCCATTTTGACACAAACGCCATTTTCTAGTAAGGATGTTGTCCGGAACGATATGATTGGCTACACAAAGTACAGCGCACTCGACTTGGTCAATGGATATTACCAATTGCTCTGATATTCTGACAGCGGTGAGTACTTCGAGCGGGATGCTCTGGGAGTGGCTGGTGATGCCCCAAGCGCTGTCAAATGCCAGCAACATGTAGTCGTCTTGTGACTCAATTGTTCAGGCATCATCGGTATGCACAAACATACTTCTCGATTGAGGCGATAACCCACGGGTAATCGATCCAGTAAATTGGAAATTTTCAGATGTCACAACCGTGAAGCTGCATGCCGGAGCAAAACATCATACTGTGCGCGAAGTGCCCCTTAGCATACTGGTCAGACAATTTCTCACCAGAACCTTAGGGTCAAGATCTTGACATTCCCCACGCACCATTGTCTGCAAGCCCAGAAACGCGATTTTAGATCCATACGTTTGACACATTTCGGGTTGTACTGACACTGTGTGCTCTTTACTTGGCATACTGGAAGATTGTTGCTCACGTAGAGAGATTAAGCAGAGTCCTGCCAGCCAAAATTACTTACACGGCATGTGTAGCTGGAACTTCAAATATCGCTGATGTCATCAGCAAAGCTGAAAGCTGAGTGTTTCGACTGCAGAGTCCAAATCGCTGAGTATGAGCTCGCAAAAACATTATGTATAATATTAATCAAAGGGTTCAGATAGCGCTGGTAAAAGTGGGCCTCCTTGGCGGACCCCTTCGCCTAGTTTAAATAGGTCGAATGGTCGGCCGACAAAGATCAGGGATATCAGGGTGCCTGACAATAATATTCGAACTCAGCGACAAAAATTGCTCCTAAATCCAAAACGCATCCGAATCATGTCTGATACGTCCCAGACAAAACAATCGAAGGCTTTCAGAAGGTCGACCAAGGTTGTGTCTGTTGGGAGATACGTTCTGCAAGAAAATGGATCAATGCTCGAAACTATGAATGAATATGGCAAATATCGCGGCACTGAACGAATCCATACTGATGTGTGCTTTACTTAACCGAGATTCATGCTACCGGAACCCGAACGTTGGGATCAAGGTTTCTATACCGTGGGATGCTGGTAGCTATCCAGCACGTTTAGAGACCGGGTTTCGTACCCCTCATTAAAATATTGGGCATTTACGGTCACTAAGGCTTCCAGTCCCCAACTATCCACACCCATTTGTATTCAGGTTGGTAGGAGATCACGCGTTTTGGGTGTGATTGATCAAATACTTTGGTGGCGTATCTTTGGCTGACTTGGTTCGATCCTCTAGGAAACCTCCCGAAGCCAGATCAAGCGACTTACTCAGGTCACCTTCGCATTTTGCTGGCTAACCCTCAAGTCAACTCTTCAAAAGAAGTAGAATTTGAAGCTTCTCCAGCTGCCCAAGTCGACGTTAATTACACCTTTTTATGCTGCTTTGATCGCCGTCGCTGCTATCATTCCTGCTCCAGCCGCCTCCCACCCACCCGTGTTGTACTGGAGCTGTGACCACGCTAGTCTCTGCACCAAATAACCAGTCGGCGTTCAGTGTCAGGCTAGACATACAAAAGACGGCTTTGACTCATCTCGACAACTAACACAAGCGATGCTGCAGCTCACTCGACGCTGTAAATTTTTTTTGATAGATACCTCCACCGCCGTGCCGCGTGATCATTCTGCAATCTGATGAACAGCTTACAATCATTCATTATTGGACCTGCGTAGGAAGTTGCTAATATCAGCTGGCACCAAGCCGCCCAACCTCTTCTTCCGCACCTCCATCGTCACCTTCGTCCGCTCCCAGTGCCATCAGCCATCACCTCGGAGATCGATAAGCCGATAGACTCGCCAGCTGACGTCACCAGCTCTACTTTCGACAACGAAGATGTCGCTGCTGCACTCGCTCATTTTCATGCCGACGTTGCAGCTTCCGCTGATGTGACTGCCACTGATGCATCTGCCGCTGATGCTGCCGCCCATAGTCCATGCTGAAACGCGTCCGAATGCGTTCGACATTGGATGAAATCTTATGCACAGGAGACCATACATCGCGACGAGGCTGAAGCAAAGCGTAACTGCACCAAGACCCCAAGCCGCTCGCTTATGGCATCGAGTTGATCGAGCACCAGCACACAAGTAAACGTGACTGGTCGTGAAACGCTTCTCCCATCGATCGAGGAGCCAAGTTGACATGGTACTTACCACTGGATGCACGATCATCGTGTTGCATCGTGGCCACGCTTGCTGAATCCCCCAACAATGACGATCTTACAATGCTGTTCAGACTGCATGCGATTGGCCAAGTATCGAAACTCTTTGGTGGTGATTTGAAAGTCAAATGAAGACATACGAGGCGTGCCCAAAGCTCGAACGCACGAAGGTTAACATCTTGGGCGGCGTCTTCGTATTTAAGGAAGATTCTCGCGACTCAGTACTCGCCATCTAAAATCTCGACTCTGTCACGAATACGGACGTGATAACTTTCCATCATCGTATGCCAGTCATTCTCTCTCTTTTGATCTACGATACGTTCCTTAAAGCTAACATCGCGACCTGTATCATCTCGACAACGTGCGCATGATCTTTTTATCGCTGATGATGAACGGATCAATGCCCTCTTTGACAACAAGCTTCACCCCGCCCACGTTAAAAAATCGCCGTACCAGTCCTAGCATCTCCTATGCAGCCACGTTTCCTATCAATGCGGTGACAGCGCATGTGCGAAGACATCTTCTCGACAGAAGTCATCCAGCAACGATTCATATGACGCAAGCCTTTGTAAAGTTATCTCCTACACACAGAATCCTGTAACACCGAGACAACCAGCAATACAAAGCTACCGCGCGAGCGACTTTCAAAAAGTTCAAGACCTCGCTCTATCAAGCTATCAAGAAAATCAAGAAAAATTATGCGAAGCTTCCTGGCTGGACTCAGCATGGCAAGCCCAGTTACCGGCAGCCTACTTTCTTTTGATTCCTAGCACTCAAGATGACATGCTGTTGATCCTACTTTTTGCCAGAGGGGATATTCTGAAGAGCACGTCGAAGATCTTACCAGTGCTGCTCTTGAAGAACGGCGGCAAAGCCGATGTTCTCACCACCATCTCGAAAAAGAAGTGCCGTCGCGAAAACATCGGCAGTTTACAATCAGATTACACAGCCTTCAGGCGGAATTGCCATGTGAACTGCTATCAGTCTCTCCAGTCGATGGGAGTTCAGATCGAGATGAAGGACATTACGGCTGGCAAGAAGTATGATTAGCGCAAGCAGAATTTGACTGTCAATATGAAGCGCCTTAAATCGGCGAAACTTTGACCGGATTGGCGTTCTTCATCCAGAGGATCCACACATGGATCGTGATGGCGGTAAACCGAAGCGAGTATAAGAAATTGTTCTTAGCTAATTATGACTGAGTCGATGCAGAAAGACCAGAACACGGCACTGTTCAATACGCTGCTTGTCCGCCTCGTGATATAGGAAGCGAGAAAAAGTGGCATCGTCAAGCTCATCAAAAACGCCACAAGCTCTGACCACATCTTGAAGAAGCCATTCGAGAAATCTCTTGCGCTCAGCAGCGTCTTATGGCTCAAAAGGACGATCCAAGGCAATGACATCGCCGAGCTCGCGCAACTACATGTTATCTACCGCGTCTTGTGTGCGACAATTTTTGGCGACGACACAAACGTTACAAACAATCAATGGGGTTTAGATGGGCTTGGCGGTCATCATCGAAGCGCGCGAGCATTTCAAGTCTTGCAGCACATTATAGACGCATTTCGATGAGATTACGAAGTGTCGCGGCTGTCGATTTCTCTTGATTTGTTCTGGATGGCTTTGATGGCGACCGCTCCGATAGACGTAGAAAATACACTGGATCCAGTACTTCGTGAGTCGGCTGGTCAGGTATATTCTGGCACACCATACGTGCTTCTTGCACCCAACACACTGCTCATGTTGCTGTTGTCAAAAATAGGCTTCATTGCAGGATATAGTGGCGAAAGGTGGAACGGTATGACCACTCGCTTGATGATTCTTAAGCTCTTCGAGCGGAAGAAGGATACTTCTTCAGATCCACGTCGGTGGTAAAGACCTGGGTCGCTGAAGATGGCTAGTGTCGAGCGCCTTGCCGACCGTTTTTTAAGTCCTCGCAACCCAGCACGCCTAGAACGGCGTTAGTCTCTTAACCGCAATCACGAATGGCATCAAGAGTAACAGCCATCGCTTCATTGACTATCTTCTGTCGAAGCAGTTGGTGTCGTGCGTCCAAGAAACCAAGTACGGCGACGCACAACACTTCATTGACGTTTAATTTCCATCCATTGAGATTTACACTCTAGGGCTTTGTTATTGACCCAAATTCGCTGCTGTATAGACTCACGCGCGGGCGAAGTATTGGAGTGGTGGCCGTGCTGCGCTCCGAAATCCCGGGGTTTGACTTGGCTATCAGACTGCCACGCTTGTCTGATCCCGAACGGTACCTCGTTGTTTAAATGGTGGTCTTTTTGTCTCCATCTACATTCAGATAGTGTGCGTGCTGTCAACCGCCACAAAACCAGTAGTATTTCGCGTGCTTGAAGATCAACAAATACAAGGACGATTGGACGCACTTTGTGCTCGGCGATTTAAACATGCCGCTCAATTCACGATTCAACTGGGCTTGACAATGACATGGCGGTACACTATGTAAACGCTTTAGATGTGTAT